ATATATATATATATATATACACTAGTGTGTTCCGCAATGTGATTTCTAAAGGGGGGCACCCTCGCGGAATCGCGTTTAATTCTTTACTGAGGGCGAACGTTTGGCTTCGCACCCTCTTGCACGAAAGACCGACACAGCCGGGTGAGGGAGGGGGATGGACGAAAGGGGATGGAAAGATTGCGCATGCGTGTAGAATTCAAGAGTGTTCCTACAACTGCACGATGTGCATGCACGGACACCGGTATGTCCACGCCAGGTATGCACAACAAAATGAATGATCTGTTTCTACATTAAGAAAAGTTTCGTGCTTAGCGTCACTACGGCCACATACGCAAATAAACGTCAGTCGGTCAGTAGGAATAACCGGAGGGTGCGTAAGGGTGCGATGAATGAAACCTCTAAGAGAGGGTGCCACGCATGTATGACACTTAACACTTCACGGAGGAGACACCTATCTGCGTCCACCTTTTACAATTTCTCCCGCTCGAATACTTTATAAAGTGAAATGGACAGTACAGTGTAAGAGTCTGATGCCACGTTGTCACCAATTTTATAATAACAGTTAAATATACTTTTAGAGAAGTAAAGTGTGTTTTCTTGAAATACATTGCATTAATATTTCCAGATAACTAGGCAAATGACATTTCCAAATAACGCTAAAACTAATATATAACATCAAACATTCTTTTATTTATTTTTAAAAGTAAAAAATTTCCATCCGATGGATAACCTTCAAATTCTGCACAGTGAAGAAAAAGTCCCACGCTCAAAATAATTATAGAGCGTTAATTGTAGGATTTAAAATACCTCTTTCTCGTCGCGACTAGTATTAAAAAACGATAATACGTAATGCAGAGGCATGAAAAGCATGTCGTAGTAATAATTGATAGATACGTATTATGTAAACAAACACCTATACAAAAGGAATGGTGATAATTATTTTTGAAGCAATGAATTTCGTTTAATGTTTGTGGAACATTTCGAGACTCTCAGGCTGCAAGAAACGTGCATAGTTTTCGCAATCTTTCTTTCGCTTCAAGGGGAATAGAGAACGACTGTAGCCGATGAGTCACGCCATGACGACAGAACATTACAAGTACTATACCATGTGCGCACCCGTTCGTAGAAGTGCATCTACTCAACACATGCTTTCACGAATTTAATGCGACGAATCTGCTGATGAGAATATGGTGCCGTGATTAACTGTATTAGAATGTTTTAAAAACTTCCTCGTTTATCATCGATCGAACGATTTTTTAAATACTCACTCACTTGTACAAATTTTATTCGTCCTTTACTATTGTAAAAATGATATGTTGAAGAAAATACGAAACAAGTTAGTACACGTAAGTGAGTAAATTAACAAATAAGATATAGTAGTATAAAAAAGAATGCTTCGGAAAATAATATTGTCACAATTGATTTAAGAATACTACCCTAAGAGCTGTATATATATGTATCACAAATCGATAAAACGATTGGGAAGAACACGTGCGTAAACTTTTGATGTAAAAGAAGATAAACAATACGTGCATTACAGGTTTAATGTAATTGTATGTCACGCAGCACTATTACAAAAACAAAAATACAAAAAAACTAATTTCTCTTAAATATAAAAATTTGCAATTCGTTAGAAAGAAATTGAGTAACGAGATTATAATTTACGTTCACTAACTTATGCACGTAGTTAGGAATTTATAACTTGATAAAAAAAAAATTTGGCATCGCATTTTCAAAAATACAATGGAAGAAGGTCAGTGACAGTACGAGTGTGAGCACACAATGAAATTTTCAGCTACAAATGGTAGTCACAGCGTGAAATACTTGAAGATCTATATTTGTAAAGAATAACGGCTGAATCGCTGATTGTGATTCATATCACATAACTGCATATTTGTCTCAAGTTTCGCGTATGTATAATGAACCGCGGTGATGATTTACAGAACACTAATTAGGAAATCCATTGTGCGGATCTTTGAAGTCCGAACAAATAATTGAACTACTTCTTCGAACCATTCCAGAGTTTTCTAGCATTTTAGAGGTTAGAAATTCGAGTTTCATAATATGGCAGGTTAGAAATTCGAGTTTCAAATATACACAGGAAAAAATGGGAAGATCAGCAATATTTATAAACAAGAAGATTAAGCTTAAAAATAAATTGAAATTCCTTATAAACCGATATCCAGTTATCTGATATTTTATAATGTATATAGTTAATCCTCCCTTATCTATATGCATTTATGTAACGGTACATATAAAATGCATAACAGAATAATGACATCGCGAACTGATCTCTTATTATTACAGCGGAAGTTCGATTCCTTTCGGCGAATTAGTGAAAATCCAATGAAACGCGTTCCTTTCTAAATCTATTAGAATAGGAATAATTATCATCAGAATCATCGTCATGGTCACTGGTTTTCTGTCATGGTTCCGCAGAATTTTACGAACACAAAGTTAAAATGCCCGTGATCGCCTATCGAAGGTGTGGCGATTGAAAATCGGACAGTCAAATTATACTCTCCATACGGCCACTAACATATATTTCATATTCGAAAATTTGACGATAATCGAAAACTTACCCTTGTGAACGGTCCACGCAGGAATTCTTTTCTATTCAGTGTATCATCCCCCTTTCTTAATAAGGGGCACAGTGCCTCGATATGTACGTTGAAGATAAACCTTGAAAAGAATTTTTTTACATTGGAGAAGTAGGTTTTCAGAGGTTCAGTTTGTACAATATTTTGTCGGTGAAATGACAATGTACAACGATTCGATGGCAACGATAACGTTGGGAAAAACGAATTCCACTCACCAATCTTGGTCACGAATTCACGGTGAAACGACGTTCACGATACGATGGAATGTTTGTCGAATACTCTATTTATTCTATTGTTTCCACCGGCGAGGAGGAATACAAGAAGAGAGGCACTAAATTTTATTTCCGCACGTTTGGTGACAGACTAAAATGGCGTGAACCAAGTACGAGTTAATAAGAGGATAATAAACACATATTTTACAGTTCGAACGTCGAATAAACGAGCGCTAAGCGTAGTTTTCACTCTTGCTATAAACTACCGTAAAGTCCGAACGAATAAGAAATACGTTGCGTCGAGCGAATAAATTGATGACAAAGTATCCAGAATGTACGTCGGCAGTCAGTCGACTGTAAAAACGCGACTAGGGACTAGGAACTAGGGATATTTCGATCTAAGTAGATACGAGAATGATACGAGTATATATTCGATACTTTCAGTTGCGATATTCAGTATCGAATAAAGTAACGATAAATCGAATGACGTAACTATCGATACACAAGTTTGTAACCAACACGATAAGCGTACCTCTTCAGTAAGTTTTATGCCTATGCATAACCTTAACCAATGCAGACAACTTATGCAAAGATTCAGTATGTATGATGATATACAATCGATGATGTACGACGTTTTTACAATGAATAAATTAAAACACAGTTTAATCACAGAATCGTCATTTGTTTTCATCTGTTGTTATTCTATACGTAAATACAATAGACAAACAAATAATTTCCTATGAGATCCCTATGAGATTCTTAATCCGCAGGCAGGTCGCAATAAGCAATTTATATGTTTATTCATTATTATAATTACATTTTTATTCCTCATTGTCATCATTTTTTATTTACAAAATTCTTCAAACAAATTGAACTGAATTTTACTCTTATCCCGTCCGTTTTCAGCATATATAACATGTCATTCTACTTGTTTTGTGTACGAATATCGCATTCGTTTTTGACAGAAATTACAAAAAAAAAAGCACTGATATATTTAAAAAATATATTAATTCAATAATAAAATTCATTCATTAATAAAAATATACTAATAAAAATAATATAAGAATATAAACAAAAAATACAATAAAAATTACATAATATGAATGAATGTTCTTCATATACCGTCATTCTTCCTGAGATCTTAAAGTATCATTCTTCATCTTTCTCAAATAACCATTCTAAAAACGTCGAAAATTTTCTTGAAAGTTATTAACACTAACAAAAATATCAATGTCGGTTTAGGTTAAATACTAATTGACACTTATGCAAGTAATGACTAATCAATTAGGTCATTCATGCTTATTTTTAATTCCCATAGTGTACTATACATACAGTTTTTAAAGGAAAGAAAATGTTTTGGAAATGAGGAGGTCAAGTTGGATACATTGCGATAAACCATATTTATTTGAATAGTAAATAGATACAATAGAGAACGCTTTTAGCAGGCCAACTTCCCATTAACGGCAGAGAACTATCAATATTTTTTTTCTTCTTCTAAAAGAGATGCATATATCAATGTATAGAAGCATCATTTCGTCTTCATTTGTTTTTTTTTAAATCTCTCAATAATTAATTAGGAATAATGATATAGGTAATTCGTAATCGCCTTATTAAAAACAATTAAAAGTATTACCGTACAGATAAATATTGCTAACTTGAGAACAGTTAAAATTTCCCATACATGTAATGGCATTTATAATCACTCCTTGGCCTAAAATAACAAAATGCTATATTATAATAAGAGATTGCATTGCGACTCTTTGTATCGTGTGAGAAATGATCGTTAGTCATCGTTTATCGGACATATCTTTTTTTTCTATCATCTTTCTTCTATTCTTATGTCCGACTACTGAGCATATTTTCTTCTTTTTTCTTAAATGGCATCGATATCAAAATCATCTTCGTCATCTGAGTCTTCATTAACTACAGCAGGCTTCTGCATAGGCGGTGACTGTTGTGGTTTTAGCGATTGTTTGGCTCTATCATCGTATTCAATCTATAATATACGGCAAACGTATAATTTGTAGTTTGAAATGACACAAACTTATTTAAAATGCGAACATTTACCTCCAAATCGTCGTCTTCCTCTTCTGGTTCAGAATCCTCTTCTTCTGCTTCTTGTAACCAGGTTAAAAACGGTGCAGCTTTATCGTGAATTTCTTGGGATAAATCTTTCGATACATATTTTTTAGTCACTTTGTTAGACCATTCGAATAAAGCTTTTTCTTCCAGAATATCAGCATCGTAAAAGAGCTAAGACAATAAACAAAATCAATTTAGTTGAAACGTATACTGATGATAATTATCAAACAATTGCCAGTAATTCGGTTTACCTTTAGAATGCCAGGTACTTTCGGCATCAAAGCATCTTTATGGAGGGCTATCACTTGCTCGATTCCTCTAATTAAATATTTCTGCGCCTTGATATCATCGTGGGTAAAACGAAGGAGAAGTACACGATACTTTTTTGCTTGAGCAGCAATGTTCTGATCGAAGAGTAATTCGGCCAAAATCAATGGAGCCTTCGTCTTGATTTCCAGACGTTCAGCTTCTGTGATCAATTCTTTATGGTTATCCAATTGCCCGGCATCTCGACGACATTTGACTAACTTATAAAACATATCCATCCTCTCTTTCTCAGTCTTATCGAGATCATCGCTGATAGTCATTCCTTTTGCTCCATCCGTCAAATCTTGCAGACGGGCTCTGACCGCTTCCTCGGACACATCAACTGCCCAATTATCATCATCCCCGTCCTCATCCGCCATCTTTTCAGGAGCCTCAACTACGATGTCGTTGGTGTTGTTATCGTTCTCCGGAGAACCAGATCGATCACCATTAGCGGTAGCGGTGGTCGTAGTGGTGGTTGTTTCACCATTTGCACGTTTCGAACGTTTCCCGCGTTTACCCTCGGTTAAAGAACTGCCTTGTACAGCAGGATTCAAGCTCGGTGGATTCTTCAAGATGTAGGTATTCAATTTATGATTGCTTTCCAGTGATCCATGGTAACCGCACGCTTTGCATCCTTGCGAGATGGTTCCCTTCTTCGAGTTAACCATCAGCTCGGTCTCGGGGTTATCGCAAGCTGGGCACAGTACATATTTACGAATGAATCCATCCAAAAGATCTTGCAATTTCGTTGCGTCGTGCGAACCGTTCACGATGAATCTCTCGTTTTTGAAATCGAATTGGGTTTGCGCACCGAGCTCGCAGCCAAAGTATTTAGTAGGATAGGTGGCAGGTCTTCCAATCGCTTTAGCGACGTCAACCATGTTCACGATCACGGTTTTAATGCCGTTCCCCTTGCCCTCTACTTTGGCTTGGATCCGCGGCATCTTATAGCGGTAAAACGCATCGCTGACGTTACGATTTACGTTGACACTCCCCATGGTGATAGACAATGTTTCCGCCTTTTACTCCTCGCTAAATTAATGTCCCTTCCGAGCGACAACAGCAATTTCTGACGAGACGTCGTTGTGAAAACGCGTTGTTGGCAAATGATGATACGAGCGGTTGGACTATCGAAAGCTATCAAGCTTCTTTCGATCGGTCACACTCTCGTTCTCTCTGGGTCTCTTGGCCCCTATCGTTCTCCCGTTCAAGTAGGTAACGTCTTCGTCCGCGTCCTTCTGGATCTATTTTCCACGTTTCCCAGCGGCAGTTTGATTGCTGTGCAGCGACGTTGCCAGGCAATGGCTACCCGATGGTAGCTCGTTACGTGTCGAGTCAGGGTGATTTTCGTTGTCTGCGGTAACGAGTGCCGCACTACCCGCTGACACCAGTCACGTTTCTCTGAACGGCTGTAGCTTTCGATGCCTATTACTAAAAATTAAAATCACTTAGTTCAAAACTTCATCTTTACAACGAAATACATACATTGCCTTATATTAAGATAAAAAATCCAATTAAATTGGAATTGCTCCAAGAGCAAGCAGCAATCTGACAATGAATTGTTACGATTCTCAGTTAGTTGAAGTTATTAGACTAAATATTAACCTGGAAAATTTTGAGGTCCTGTGTTTAGGCAGGACTAGATGATTCAGAAATCGTTGGGTAGTATCTTGATGCAAATATTGCCTCGGTTTGGTGGGCAGAGGGGGATATTCTTCAATGATCATACACGCTGCCTGTCCGTTGCTTGTGCCCCTAAGAAAGCCGGAGTACGAGGTTGGTGTTGTTAACTCACAAGTGGCTCGTAACGAACGATTAGACCGATCGAAAGTGATGATGTTGCCGTTTAGAAATCGCTTGGACAGTGTCCTACTACCGCCGCCTTTGCTGTACACCGATCCTTTCCCTCTGGATGATATCCTGGATGTTTCTGAAATCAAACGAAAACCAATTAATCGTTTATCGTCGAAGATGAACAATCTCGAAGTTGCTCGGCTTATTTAATTTATACGTTTTCCACGTTTAATCGTCTGTTGTAAAAGGAAACTAATCTCGAAGTCTCTCTCGAAATCTATTTAATTTGTACGTACGTTTATTGTCTTCGTAGGTTTATGTTAGGTTTATTATTAAAAGATAAATATTTCTCGTACTCTTTATGAACGAAATATTCTATAACTTTAATTAATACTTAATTTTGTAACAAAATAATATCTTCTCTCGAAAGATAAAATAATAAAATGTTAACGTAAACGTAACGAAACGTATGAATATATTAAAGAAAACCTAATGGAAACTAAGCTAATTGAAATTAATGTCCCAGGGATGTTACTCTAATTACCTCTCTCTCTAACCATCAAAAACGACCACGAGCAAACCTACTACGTTCAATCAGTCGAATCATCTCAACCCGAGGAGGACATCGCCGCGCAGACATCAAGATCCATTTCACGGTTCACGATCATAGGTAAGGAATTCTTTGTCTTTTTTTCTCTTCTCCGGAATAATTCTCGCCTCGTCCATTCGCGTATGAGCGACCAGGTTGATCGGACGGTTCGGGCCTACCAAAATCGTTGGCAAAACGGAAACATCGGGGGATGGTTTTCAACGTGAGGCTCGTAGATCATTTGTGCGTGGTGATATCCTTTTGCTGGCCGTTCGTGAATTTTGCTTGACGCGCGTTGCTTATAACATTTAGCACGCGGCGATTTAACGATCGTCCAGCCGATGCTCGGTGATGATCGACCATGCGAAAATCATGATAGCGAAAAATCACATCACGGACTTTTGGCCTGCCGAAGAGAAACGTGTTTTTCCGGGGTGTGGAGGGGGAGGGGGAGGGGGGGAGGGGACCACTGGCGAGAACGACGCCGCGAAGAATCCTTGGCTGAGCATCGTCGATCGAAAATGGAACAGATGAACGACGGAGGGTAATAAAAGACGATTGGGGATGACGGGATGTCGATCCATTCGTCTGTGAACTTCTCCTGCGCGTTATGGTGGTGACGGTAGATTTAATGAGAAAATTTATCGTGTTAGCCTGGCAGATCTTTTAGAATGAAAATAATGGGGGATATTTTCCATAAATTTGTTTGTGCCCTTAGATCTATATACAAGCATCATACCGCGGAAAAGCAAATGATATTGCAATTACTGGAATCTGGAGAGAAAGAAGAACATTATAATTGATAAATATAACGTATTTGGTTTACGAATGTATTTTACATTTTTGCACTTACACATAGATAATTATCATCATTTAATCCTCAATATAAAAATTAAATAAGAAATTTCAACAAATTATGTTAGATTTAAAAATAAATATTACTTTTGGGAGAATGAGAATAATAATTCTATCGCACATTGATATAATTTTTATCATTATCTGTAAATTCATGTAATTTTCTATTATCTCATTATGTTTTTAATACTGCAAGAGATTTGCAAGTTCACTTCAGCCTTAATTGCGTTCGGGAAAATATAAATTTGCATAAACGTCAGCAGTGCAATTATTCCACAATTATACAGATTATTAATATTAATATTAATAAATTTTCTTGTACAATGATACCAAGCTCTATAATGAAACACGTGAAACTTTAGGAATAAATTTTACGTATTTTTTTCTGCATTAATATATTGTTATAATAAGATATTAAAATATTGCAAATTTATGTTGAGTTACATCGCAAAATATTTCTCTTTCAAATAATAAATTGAAAAATATTGTCGACGGCACAACGAAAATTTCATTTTTGATAACTATTATAGCATATGTATGTGTGGCATATAAAACGTACCATAAAAGATACCGAACAAATTGAAAGGTATCGAACTAGAAAATTAACTTTGGAAAATGGTCTGAAGGTAGTAACGAGATAAATTATTCTGTTTTCATGCTCCGCGCATGTAAATGTAATATCGTAAAACATTGATTGGCTTGCCATTTTGTTCGTCATTAAATAATTTCAATTTGAATTTATATAGTTTCACTTTTCATTGCAATTATCCAATTAATCAACATGGCCGATTTGTAATTTTCCATGGGAATTTTTGTAAATTTGCAACAGTGAAGAGAGATTTGAATGATTTTTCGTGGAGAGCGTGTAAAATAAAATCTTCTGCCCGTTATTCCTATTTTTTTCTTTTTTTTTTTACATTTTTTTACATTTTTCCTGACATAAATTTTTGCACTTTGGCCGTCGGCAGCTCTTAGCATTAAGTAAAATATCTAATTTAATGAGTCGTCAAAATTATACGCCAAGATAATATAATTCAGCACTTGTTCGCGTGCGGGATAACGATAATTCATCATTGTGATAATTCATCATGGTGATCGTTATCCTTAATGAAACGAATGCTTCTATCACGTGAATAACACCAAGATTTCCTCGAAATCTTTTGATACGTGTGTAATAATACAATTCCTCTGTATAATGCATATTAACGTCGCTACGATCGTATTACAGATATTATGAAATTTTATTTACACGATAAACACGAACGTGTTACGTAATCTGCACGACGAGCCAATCTCGTACGTATTCTAATTTTTCATACAGCCAAATTGGCCATGCGGTTTGACCCCGAAACCAGGCCACGATATTCGAGACCTCGGATTCTTCTATCGCGACATATGAAATTCTCCGGATGTTCTGGACAAATACTCTGTAACTCTTCTTTCTTTCAGTAGCATTTATTTGCTCTTCTCCAATTTATAATAAATTTTCCATCGAAAGAAAAAGCAGTCCTCCCATTTCGTTTCTGCATGATATTCATGTTTTCATAGGAAATTTTTTGCTCAAAAAGTCAGTGATAAGTGGAGATACTTCTACCTCTTGATAAATGGGAATGACATTTAAACGTTCTCGAGATTTACCTCCGATTTCGAAAGCTTCGCGGATAATCCTCCCGTCACGCAAAGTAAGAAACCGATGAGAAACAATTGTAGTCGCGTAATATCGGCGCGGATCGTTCTCGACACGAAGCCAGATAAGGCTCGCAGCTCCGTAAACACACTTCCGGTTACGTATCTGCATGTTATACTGCATATACTGCTATTTTCTTCAAAACCATAAATATCAACTCGGTTCTTTTTAAATTAAATAATAATTAAATAATAATTCAGAAGGATTAAACATTTCTGGATATTTATTAAATTTGTTTGTTATTCGAATAGCTGTTATCCTTTTTATTATAAATGATTTAGAAATAATTCAAAATAAAAAGGAAATCTTGCAATTAATTTCTAAGAATTGCGTTTTGCGATTAAAGAAAAGATATCGAACAGATGTTTAGTCTAAATAATTTCATGTAAGAAAATTTCTTAGAATGTATTTTGAAGTTAATACACGTTGTTCGTATTACAATTGATAACTCGTGTGAATGGAATGCATAAGATAGTTCCAAAGAGTGTCAAGAAGGAATATAATAGAAATTTAGATTGTCCGAAAAGATAAAAAAAGTTTCTTACATTCAACAAAATGAATTTCAAACATGTACATTTGTCTCGATATTTTTTGTCTCTATGAGAATAAAAATATTTCAAATAAATTCTCTACGCTACGATAATTACGGAAATCTCAAAAAATTAACAAGGTCACTCCGTTTTCAAGAATTTCAATTCTAAATTAAGGGAATCAATTATCAATCATTCAACTTGAGAAAAGAAAAGAAATCGGAACTTAGTAGTAGTTTTGTGGAACTTTATACAACATTAGGCATGTATGTTGAGTGCAGACAATGAATATGTGCGAACGCACAGATAAAATTATAAAAGTGGAAAACATGTTCTCCTTGTAAAAAATAATTTCCATAGTTATTATAGACTGAATTGAACAAATAATACACAATTTCAATATAGTAGTAATATTTACGACAACGATAATAATAAAATCGATAATATTGACTTTAAATAATGAATATTTACGGTGAAATGTTTGAGTAAAAATAATTAATTTAAACTTGAAAGAGCAAGAGCAAAGAGTCAAAAAACGAACATTTCACGAAAGCCGTCAAACGAGGAGTGAAGTTATTTCACCGGTGCACGCTCTAAATGCGGGGCAGGCAACATAACGCCGGCAATTTACAATGAAACATTTTATTTCGTATCGCGCAATCACGGGGAATTAATTCACGCGTTGATTGTGCTTCCCTTCCTTTCGAAACAGATTGGCATTCGTTGAATTTTCACTCTGCGACTTTCTCCTACGATCTACGTCTAATTTCGTAAAAATAAGAAGCTTCCTCCCGAAAAGTAATTGGGCACAATTTCAGAAATATTTATAAAATTAATAAAAATATATAAGAGAAAGCAATTGAAAACACTCTGAAAAAGTGAAGAAAAAAATTCAGTCTTGAAAGACTTGATGAACTCTCTTGGGGGGGGAGTTGAAACAACTAAACTAAAGCAAAGAAAAAATAAAAAAAAAAAAGGAGGAAATGAATGAACGACATCGATATGACAGTGAGGAAATGGTTGTTAAGTAATATTTTTCTGGGATTTGATCGATCTGGGCGGGGTTGTAATGGTTTCGACAGCTCAACGAAATCCCATTATGTAAAATAACGTAATCCATTATACAGCGATCGCTTGTACTGTAATCGTCAGAGATGATTGATCCACGTTTTGATAGATAAGAAACGATTATAAATCACTATTATCAAAGCAATTATTTTCTCTCTATTTCGATATTATCTTGTCAGAAGGTAGCGTTACGATTTTTAATGAAAGAGTGTTTTTGGAAAAGACATCTCTTTTAAATTCTTCTCTCTTTAATGGAGAAAACATTTACTTTAACATTAGAGCTACTGACCTGGAATGTATAAATATACTTTGCTAAATATAATTTGTTATAAATATTTAGTGTGACATTATTGTAAGTCGTCTATAATTTATTATAAAACGCAATTAAAACGATACGATTAAAATAAATATTATAGTTATATAGGGCAGGTTGAAAGGAGAAAAGAAAGCGAAACTTTTTGAAAATTTTGTGTATTAAAATTTTGTTCACTGGTTAGTATTAGTGTAAACTGAAAATTGCCTCGAAATCTAGCTGTATATAAATATAAAAATTAATTGCAAAGTTTCTGCCACGTCTCGTAGTATGCATCATACAGAAGAATAAATTCATGGCAGAGTGATTAATTTGAAACTAGAAATTAAAAGACACCTGTATATATTTTTAGTCAGACTGAAAGAGCAGAACGTCTGAAATTTTCATGACTTTTCATTCCCACAAGCTTGATAGCTCCAATGTTAAGCTGCCTTTCAGTAGTATGTACAATGGCACAGGAAAATTGATTTTACTGGGTCAATGGACTCTATTTCAATGTATGATGGTATATACATATG